AAGGCAAAGTAGGACTGCCCCTTTCAGTTTCAGAGATTCTGAATGTTTATGGGAGCAAACCTCATCTTTCTCCCAGGCAGCATCTGGTGGGTTTGAACTGCTGACTTTGTGCTTAGCAGCTCAATTGATAGCCCACCACACCACAGAGGGACCTTATTTTGCCCTTAGATCCTTTGAATATTGCAACTCGGGGCTCGGTTTTTTTATTACGTACTTCAGCATGACATATGCTGAGCACGTTCTTCTTCTTTGGCTTTTTAACTCCAGGCCTTCGCCAATTTCATTATACCATTCTGCTTTGTCTTCTCAGGCTGGCCTTTGAACATTTCTGTTCAACGATTTTACCGCAGAGTTTCTTCTTTTTACTTTGGTTACTCGAAGTTCACGTGCAAGTTTCAGATTCCTGTCTGACACCAACTTTGGTCTCTTCTTTTCATCTCATCTTTAACAGAGCTGTTGCCTTCTTCGGGTGAGGTTCTTCATGTCATCTCACAGCTTGCCAGGCCTTTGGTCACTGCTATTCTAGGCATCAAACCTGTTCTGAGACGTTCCCTTGTTTCAAGTGGGATATGCTCAAGGTTGTATGCTGGCTCTTGTAGACTTGGTTTCATTTTCTTCAACGTCAACCTAAACTTGCAATGGACCAATTAATTGATGGCCTCTTCCGAAGTCTGCCCTAGCCTTGTTTGGACAGGTGCTGTCATCCACAGATGTAGTCAATGGCGTTCCTGTGTATTCCGTCAGAAGAGGAATGACAGCCTTTAGTTGCTAAGAACGAGAGGTGTAAAGTAGCAGAATGATAACAGGTGGTTGCTTCCGACGGGGAAATCTGCATGAAAGGGAGCAGCAGGTAGAACTGCACGTTCTGCAGATTCGAGAGACAGCTGAGAGGGCTCACTGGTCTTACCCCAAAAGGCTGCTTTTCGTGCTAGTTGGTCCATGGCTGGATATGGACAAGCTCTGTAGGCAGGCCGGCCACAGTCACGTCTTTCAAAACCTTGTGAGTGGCTCATCAGCTCATTGGCAAGTGACACCAAGGCCACACAAAGAGATAAACATCATATAGAATCGGACAATCTGAGGAACGGTGATGGGGAAAACGCTTAAGAACACGGTGGGATGGTTGCTGGATGAACTATCATGTAGCCCATGGTACAGATAATTCTAGAAATTGAAAATTCTAGAAAAAATCCCTGTGAAAAATAATAAGATCCAAACCTTCAGGAGAATATATATATATACAGAAGGAAAAATACCAAAGTTTAAATAATAGTATTACAGATTACAGTGATTTAACTTAGCTCCATATCATCTATGCTTTATGTTATATATTACCCACTTCTAATACACGTGTGTATATGTGTGTTTCAAACAACCTAAAGTTTAAAAGCATATGTCCTGATTGAGGCAGAGGCAAAAGTCATCTTACATAAATCAGGACCTATGTGTGTGTGTCCTTCTGATATGTGGATCCAGCTGTCTTCATTACTGCGTTTCAGCCTGTGAGGTGCTTTTATGTGGCTGGTCAAATCTGTCCTCAGCCTTTCCTTTGCCCACAGCCCTCCTCCCGCCTTGGATCTGTGGGACTTATTGTGATGTCTGCCCACTAATTTTGCTGTGACTGGGGCTGATGTCTGGTTTGTGATTCATGTCTGTTCCTAAGTTGTACATCTGTGTTGGTTGCTTTGATACAGTGCCCCGGGGAATATGAAAGCCCATTTGTCTCACTAAGATGCGTTCTGTGCCCTAGGAATTCGTCTCTGGCTTCAGCTGAATTCCAGCGAGCTTTCCTATGAATTTCAACCAAGTGACAAAGGAGAAAATAAAACCCAGGGGGAACAGCAGAGAGAGTTTGGGTGGCCGGGTCTAGTCCAGCTTACCTGGCAAAATTGTCGTTAGATGCTAATCCAAGGGACAGAAGTGCCTTGTGGCACCCACCTCAGGAGTAACACCTGGTGACTTATCGTCTGCCCACTAGGAATGCCTCTAGCAGGAAGGGGCCAGAGTGAGCATTGGTGGAAACCCTCAATGGGAAAAAAAATGTTCTCAGCGCTGGGTAGGCATATCCACTTGGCACCTTTTCTAAGATTTTTGCACAGTTACACACAATGGTGATATTCATAATATTTAATGTCTGGACTGCTTGGGCACTGACCAACTGAAGGGTTACAGCAACTAAAGCCTGGAGTACTGGAGCTAAAGACACCCAGCCCCCACCCCCATTCCCTCAGTTACTAAAGTACAGGAGATCCAGGAGCACTGTGCCAACTCTAACTTTTTAAATATTTTAATAACCATAAAGGCCATAGGGATACAGAACAACATGAATACACGTGAACTTGCTAACCTTGTGCCCCCAACCTCACGCATTATGTAGCCCCGTCTTCACTTTGTAAGATTCTCCCCTCTTTGTCCTTAAGAAGAGTTCAAACTCAGCACTGGGACCTACTGGTTCTACATGTTTGAGTGGCAACACAGCAGAGCCCTCACCTACAAAGGAGCTCCGTGTTTTGTTCGATCGCCAATACAGATCTCACCCAAGGAACGTCTGCAAGTCAACTTTCATTTTATTTTCACTTGCTGCTATGCATGTGGCTTACAACATAGCTTTCCCTCCAGGCAGGCTGGCACACAGGCTGCTATCTATGAGGGATTGCCTGCCTGCCTTCCTGCAGTCTTTGAAAGACAGGCCATTAGCCTGCTGTGAAAATCCATCTGCAGTGCCTTGCGAGCTCAAATACATATTGGATTGTTATGGTTCACTCTTGCCCTTTTAACTAGAGATTCTTACTTGCTGCTTCTTATCAGGCACCTGGAGTTTTGTGGGTTGGCTGAAACAGCTTCTCAGAATGGTCTCTGGGGAAGCATTATAACCTTGAATTCTGTCATTTCTTCTTGCCTTGTTTCAGCGAAACCTTACAGCTTCAGGGTAATTTTCTGCCTCTGTTCAAGATAAAGCAAATGTTGCTCCTAGCCTGACTAGGTATCTAGATACCAACCCCAACTTCTGTTTAAATTCAGAGTCTGAGAGGAAATTGCACTCAGTTATCTTGTGGGCCACTCAGAATCTCAGTGACAAAGGAAGTCTGAGAGTGTAGAAAAATTACTTGGCTTCCAATTCTCCCTCCCCAAGTTCCTAGCCTGTGATTTTGAGCAAGATATTTAACTCTTATGCCATGAGTTGGAATGGAGTTGGTGGCAATGGGTTTTGTTGGAATTGACTCCATTTCAGGGAGTTTATGATTTCCTTTGGAAGTCTCATTTTGAAGGATCGCTGGTAGAGCAATGCTTTAAACAATCAGATGCTGACAAGGAGCTGATGGTTCAAACCCACCCACAAGCCCCCTGAGAGAAAGAACTGGAGATCTGCCCCCATAAAGATGAAAACCTAGGAAATCGTACCGCCCAGTTCTACTCTGTCCTATCAGGTCACTATGAGTTAGAACTGACTCAATGGCACTCCGCAGCGACAACAAAAGTGAGCCCTCACTTGCTTAAATGTAGAGGCAAATCCCATTGTAGATTTCACGGGGTTCTTATGAGCAGTGCTTTGGAAACTGGAGACAGATAAGTAATATCAACCCCAAGAGAGTAAGTTGTAAGAACTATTGAATCTAAAGAGGCAAGAGAGCAGAAATAAATCATGGCCTCTGGATAGGATGATGGAAGCCCATTGACGATATTTAACTAGGAAAAGAGAATTCCCTCTCCTTGTACCTTCGGCAAAGCTTAGCTGGAGGGGCTAGGAGTAGAGCACAGTCAGAGATGAGGGTTCCTGCCGTGTTGAGGGCCAGGGAGGTGTTGGGTGCAGGAGCAAGCAACGTGGTGAGGAAGGAGCTCCTGGAAGGGCACAGTGCCCAAGAGAATAGCGCCATAACTCCAGGTGCCATGGAGTCCTTTCTGACTCCCGGCAAGTCGTGTGTTCCTGAGAACACTGCTTCACATTGTTTTCCATGGCCGAGTGTTTTGGGAAGTCGATCATCAGATCTTCCTTCCAAGGCATCTCTGGGTGGACTTGAACTTCCAACCATACGATGTTCACCGTTTGTACCACCCAGGAAATCAAATACCAGGGGACCCTTCTTTGCCCTCTGACCCCACGGACATGGAGTTAAATCTGATTCTTAGTGGCCCTATAGGCCAGACTAGAACTTCTCCCCTAGGAGATACAAGATTAAATCGTTACAGGAGCAGACAGCTTTACCTTCCTCCCACAGAGTGGCTGGTGGATTGGAACACCTATTTAGTGGTCAGCAGCCTAACGCTTAACCCTCAGAGCCACCAGAGGAGAAGAGAGCGAGGAGAAATGGCACTCCGACTCCACTACTCGTGGCTCTATGCTCATTGCCCAGAGCTGTTCAATCAGCTCCAGACCTGCAGACAGACGGACAGAGGCTGACCACGACCTTCCTCCAGCAGACTCAGCCCAGGTGTCTTCCAGAGACAACGTTCGGCAACCCCTGGAATTACTTTGGCTTGAACAGTTAATGACGTCATTTTCCCCCTGACTCGAATAGCACATATGAATATTAAATCTCATCATCCGGCGGATGTTTTCAGGGTAGCACGTTGTTCCTGAAACATTTGGAATATGCACGCTGTATCTTTCATGAGCCTGTGGTATTTATTTATGGCAGGAAGACTGACACCCAGCGTGTGCTTGACGCCCCCACTGGAGGTGTTTATTAGCCCCAAATGATTGTCTGCTTGTCTCTTGTTCAGACTGTGTGCTGTCAGACCCTGTGCTCTCTGCTCCGGGGCTCAGACCCTGGCTCCATGCTTTCCGATGAGGGCATAGTGGAAAAGTGATCGGATTTTGATGGGACTCAGTTTCCTCATCTATAGCCTGGGGACCCTAATGATGGCAACCGGAGGATGGGCATGTTTCATAAAGGTCCCGGTTTTACGCTCAGTGCCTGCACACGCTAGGTTCTCAATGTTCGTTCACTGTGCTCCTCTGGGGCGCCCACGTGACCAGAGTGTTCTGCTTTCTCTTTAAGCTTTGACGTGGAAAATGGCCCTTCCCCAGGTCGGAGCCCGTTGGACCCCCAAGCGAGCTCGTCTTCTGGGCTGGTGCTTCATGCCACCTTTCCCGGCCACAGCCAGCGCAGAGAGTCCTTTCTCTACAGATCAGACAGCGACTATGACTTGTCCCCAAAGGCGATGTCACGGAACTCCTCACTTCCGAGCGAACAGTGAGTACAAGCCCTGTCTGGCTCCGAGTCTCACACGTCCTTCGTCTTTAACCCTGTCACAGCAGCAGCAACCAACACAAATGCTCTGCTCCCACCCCGGGCGCGCGGGAGGGGGCATGAACAATAGCAGAGCGTGCTGTTGTGACGACAACCCTGGTAGGGACAGCCATGCTCTGTAACATCAGGGGCCTCTAGTCAGTTCTCCCAGCTTACTAACCTTCTCCAGGCAGAAGGTGCCCATCCGGACCCAGTTTACACTGTAGGCTGGCACTTTGTCTCTCTGCCTTTGACCTCGCTTTCTCAAGTGCTTGCTTATTTAGAGCACGAGAACCTGTGTGGGACTGCAGGAGAAGAGAGGGGGTTCCGGGGTGCTGCCCTGCATCCTCTCTCCGTAGCCTTTCCTTGGGGCCATTGTCATTGCACCCATGCCTGTTGCTCTTGGGACCCCAGCACAATACCCACTCGTTGCCTGGCTCCTTGAGGAGACACCACACACGCCACCATTCTATTAGACACAGCTGATGTTTTCGTTTTGCTGCTTTTAATTGTAGATCTCTAATCTTTATTTAAAGAACAACGGCTGGGTTGTGTTACATGTTGATTAAATTTCTGAAACCAAATAAAATTGGGTGTTGGAATTTATGCCTGAAAGGTTTCTGGGCACATATAATTGTTTTTAACATCATATGTTATAAAAATATCAGTAGTTCCCTAAAGTCCCCAGCCTGGAAAATTCCACTGGGCTCTCCTGTTATTGGAAAGGAAGAAGAAGAAGAAGAAAAAACCACCCTGTTTATCAAAGTAAGAGAGAGCCTTCTAAAACTACCAGTAAGACAATAGCCCCAGGGCATTCCTGCCAGCAAATGCCAGTAGAAGCATCCCTATCTTGAAATATCTCAACTGTTGGGTGAAGCAAAATTCGTTTGTCCACTTGATTGGCAAATATTTTTGGAATCTCTCCTATGTACCTTGCAAGGCTCTGGGAATAATAGAAGTGGAAAAAGCACGAATGAGCCAAATGTCCATCCTGTTTTCAGGAAGGTTACAGTTGAATCAGAAAGAAAAGACACATATGCTCTACTCAAGTGGAAAGAAAGCAGTATTAAATGAGCACTTACCCTGGGGCCAGGCACATTTACACGTGTTATCTTTTCCAGTCTTGACAACAACCCCGTCAAGGGTGTACCATTATTATTTTCACCCGTAGATGATGAATAAGAACCTGGGTGGCATACTGGGTTCTGACAACTATGGGCTACTCCTGCACAGTCAGCTGTTCCAATCCACCAGCCGCTCCGAGGGAGAAAGATGAGACTTCCTGTTTCTGTAAAGATTTACAGACTCGGAAACCCACAGGAGCAGTTTCCCCTGTCCTCAAGGTCACTGTGAGTCAGAATGGATTCCCCGGAAGTGAGTTTGGCTTATACCTGATGAACATGGGACTCCACGGATTGAGAAACTCCTCTCCCACAACTAGGAGGTGAAGCGGCCCTATTCAACATATTTGGACTATTCCCACCCCTGTTCCTCTAACAACCAAGCGGCATCTTTCCTGTTAGTGCCGTAGCTTTGTTGAGTTCATTCCGACTCATGGCCACCGCAACTGCACAGAGTAGAGCTGAGCCACCGGCCGCGAAAGCTGCAATCTTTCAGAAGCAGATTGCCAGCCTTGTCTTTCAAGAGCCTGTGAATTGGTTCCAATCTCCAGCTTCACATTTGCCTCCAAGCACCTGACCATTTGTGCCACACAAGGACCTATCTTAAAAAATAAAAACCAAAGCCATCGCTATCCCGTCTAGACTGGCTCAGAGGAAGGCAGAGGGGTATTGTCTGGGGCTGGAGCCGAGGAGCACTTTGTGGTGGGTCATGGAGAACAGCGGCAGGCTCTGACTCGGGTTTGAATGGAGAAGCTTTGACGGTGAGTGTGCTAGAGCGGCCGTCTTTCACCAGGATAAAAATCTTTCCAGACTTATTTGGGAAGTCTGGGATAATACAAAAGGTTTATTCATTTACCACTAGCTGAGAGGTTAGTGGTTCAAAACTCCCGGAGGTGTCTTGGAAGACAGGCTTCTACTTCTGAAAGTTTCCAGACTTGAAAAGCCTGTGGAGTCGCCCTGTCCTGCATACATGGAGTCTGTACGAGTTGAATCCATTTGTGGCAGTGAAAAGCAGACTTCATTGGGGGAGAGCATAGAAAAATGTGAACATTTCCGTTATTATCAAAACCCTAAATGAAGAGGAGTACCCAAAACTAGTGGAACTGAATATATTTATTGGAAGTATATAACCTAACCAAGGCTCCCTGCCCAGCACATCTAGAAATCCACTCTCTGACTATCAGTCATTGAGAAAGAGCAAGAGACCATAGGAGGATAATTGGTCCTACGATCAGACTCCCTAAATAGTGAGGGTTTGTTTTTTATAGGTGGAATATCCTGAAAGTTAGAACTATTCATAAAATTTCTTTGGAAACCTCATGTTTCTGTATTTGGGGGTGGGCCAGGGTATATGGGCAGAGACCAAGCATTTCATGTTTTTTAAACTATGGCATCCTGGGCACGCCCGATGGGGGAATTGCCATGGGTCAGACATCCTAGGTCATCTGTAGGCTGCAGCGAGGTCCCACTGAACAGATCCAGCTCAGGCTGGCCCCCACGGGGTTACTTTTCTGCAAAACAACATTGAAAGAAAAAAACAGCAAAAGAATTTAGAGGAAGTGAGCCTTCTCACCTCATTTCTCTCCCCCCAGCCTCTTCTGGTTTTATGTAGATGTGATTTGAATCAGGTATGTATCTGGACGGTTCTGAAGAGGGGGATGGGGGAAAGTGGGACCCGTGTCCTGTTGCGAGTCTCCCACTTTGTAACCATGCTAAGCCTGTTCCAGCGAGGCACTGGTCGCTACCCACCAACCCCAAGAATCCTTGCTGCTACTGCTGTTCAGTGTAGTGGAGAGGAGGCAACTCACAGAGACCCCGTGTTCACCAGATCGAAACACTGCTCAGTCCTGAGCCATCCTCATGACGGTTCATAAGTTTGTCCCATTGTGACAGCCAGTGTGTCGACCCATCTTGTTGAGGGCCTTCCTCTGTTGGGCTGCCCCTCTCATCAGAAAAGCATGATGTCCTCTGGGGACTGGTCTGTCCTATTCACACGTCCAAAGTCAGCCAGAGGAAGGGTCGCCCTCCTCACCTCTAAGGAGCCTCCTCACATGCTGTATTTCTCCTGGCACGTATGTATGTTTGTTCTTTTGCCCGTCCCTGGTCCTTTCAACATTCTTCTCCAGCACCATAATTCTAATGCGTTGATTCTACTTCGGCCTTCTTCACTCAATGTCCAATTCTCACATGCGTACGAGGCCACTGAAAAGACCACGACTTGGGTCAGGCACACCTTTGTCCTCAAAGTCACCTTCTTGCTTTTCAACCCTTTGGAATGGCCTTGAGCAGCAGACAAACCTAATGCAACGCACCGCTCGATCGCCTCTGAAAAATCCGATTTGGTGAGGAATCATTTGCATAATAAAATGTCTACTGTTAAAGTGTGTAGCTCATGAGTTTGACAAATATATACAGTTGACCTCTCACTCTTTCAATTAACAATAGGGGCGTTTCTATCACTCCCCAGCATCCTTTTTTGCCTTGCGGCAGTCAAGAATTTCTATGTATTCCAACTCTGGCCTCCACTGATCTGCTTTCTGTCCTGATAGGTTTCCTTTTTCCTGAAGCCATAGAAACCTTAACGAAAACATCAAAACGTGAAGCTGCTCTTTCTTAACATGCCCTGCATCCAGGTCTATAAGCTGCTGTTTTAACTTGTATTTAACTTTTCATTGTGAAGTAGGTGAAGGCTTTCGGGAAGCGCATCAGTTTTAGATTCACCAATGAACACACATTTTCTCTCAGCGCGTCCTCTGCAGTCCCTTCAACGTACCACCACTCTCTCCGGGGCCCTCCTTCCCTTTGTCCTGAGGGCAATGCTACCCTTTTGATTTTCTTCGTTTTTTCTAAACCGTTCGCATATCATACAATTCAATAGTTCAATCACATCGAGACTGCTGCTTCCATAAATAGTGATTGTGGATCCGAGGAAAATTCTACTCATTTTCCTCTTGGAGAGCAGCTGGTCGTTTTGAATTGCTGAGTTTGTGATTACACATTGGACTGTTAACTGCAAGGTCAGTGGTTCAAAATCACCAGCTGCTCCACGTGAGAGAGATGAGGCTTTCTACTCCCGTGAATAGTTACCGTTTCAGAAAACCATGGGGGAGTTCCATCCTCTCCTGGAGGGTTGCCATGCGTCAGAGCCAACTTGATGGCAGTGAATATTTTAAATTTCTCTGAAGTGGGAAGCCCAATTGTCCTTGATAGTTTGTTCTTAATCTGGAAGCTCTGCTGACAACAGTTCACTTTGGGTGGTCCTGCTGGTGTTTGAGATACCAGCAACAGAGCTTCCGGTATCACAGCGACACACACGTCCCCTCCGTTGACAAACTGATGGGCAAGTGGCAGGAGATCTATTGCTAAAACGAAGAGAAAGGAGCTATATGTTTCTTATACCGCCTGTGTGATTAAAAAAAAATTCAGGAAACTCTCTGTCAAAGAAAAACTGCTTGTCAGCAAAGCCAGAGTCAGGGTCTGCCGGAGAACTGCCTGGCGAAGCCGTGAAAGGAGCCAGAGATAAGGACAAGAGCAGAGGCCTGATTACAGCATCTTCCCCGGGCCCACGGCTCCTATGAAAGTCCTTTCCCTCTCCCTCTCCCCTCCAGGAGACAGATACCCCATCTCTTCTGTCTCCCTTTAAATACAGTTGTGCAACCACACCCCTGTCTCGAAATAAATGGTACCTTGGAGACAGGTAACTCTGAACTACTGCTCTGTGAGAACAGCTTCAGAGTTGGTTATAGAAATGGATACACTTTCCACCCAGACCCTGGGGTTCCTGCCTCAAGGCTAGCCAGAAGGGGTAATTCACCAAAAGAACCCAGTCCCTAAGGCACAAGT